TGTAGTGTAATTTTTAACTTACATGTATGTAATATATATATATATAATATATATATATAATGATTTCATGTATCCATTATTTGATGAAAGTGACTAGATTTGATTCTTGTTAGGAAAAACCAGTTCTGTGCTTTCTTACATGTATTAAGCTACATTTTATGTCTCGCTACACTAAAAAATGAGAAGACAAACATTCATGTTACATTCTTGATAAATTTTTATTACTGTTAAAATGAAATATATGTTCCTGTAGTTCCATTGAAAATGGTGGATTCACTTTGTACTCATTGAAGAAACCAAGTCCATGCCAACTGTATGGAGATTTGGTAAGTTTCTGTGTTTTGTAGAACTAAATTGTACTGGTTTTGTTATGTTTCTAGTGCAGTTTCTTTCTAAACAAAAATTTTCTTTGTATGTAAATAATATATATATACGCAGGGATTTAAATACAGAGTGATACTGCTTTTAAGACAAACCATGGGACTCATGAAAATTAGTTTTATTAGTGGGATGGTCTTAGTAGTACATGTCCATCATATGCATCTGTGTTAAGACAAAAATAAAGATTTTATTAAAACTAAAAGCAGTAATGAGTTTCAATTTAGAACACAAGTATCACATTTAATTGCCCAACAATTACCTTTTCTCTTTAATATTGACAGGACCTGCATTTTTCCTATTCCAAATGACTATACGTGCTGCCACTGACTATGATTTTGTTTTATTAAATCTATCCTCTGGCAAAGTCTTTGATAAGTATTTTTTAACCGTTTCACTGAGGCTGGGAAATATATGTCCCAGCCTTAGTGAATGGGTTAATAAAAGCTAATGCTTATACTGTACCTGTACATGGTGGTTATTAGCTTTTATTTCATCTTGAAGATGAAGGTTACACTACTGGCCATAATATTGTCACTCATTATTACTTAAGTAATTGCACAGTGTTGCAATACCCTAAGGTGTGCTAGCCAGTCAACTGTTGAATTGTTTTAGTGGTTGCTTTGATGTATTGTAAAACCAAATCAATAAGAACATTGAAACTGTTACAGATTTATTGGATGTAATACATAATAGCAGATAATCTTATTACAAGAATTAAGAAGACATAAGATCACTGAAAGAATAATTTAGTTCTTTGAAATTTTGATCATTTTAATGAGGTGGCCATTGAGTAAGGTACATGTACATTTATTTGGACTGACTTGTATTATAAGGAAGCTACATTAAAGATTATGAATTTGGTTTAAAAATATAGAAGATTTTCAATAAGCTTTAAGTGACTTAGGATAATACAGTTGTAGTTTCCTGTTATAATTTGCAGTCATTCCAGAAAGAAAAAGGATAACTTAGAATTATTTCCTATTTTTTTATGGTTGTTATGAGGTTAGACCAACCCTGTATAGAGTTATAGTAAAGAAAATAACTGACATTCAGGAGATACATATTGTAACAGACAGGCTTCTGGCTGTTATAC